CTATAAAACGCAATATGCCTAGTAAAGGAGCGCTGTATGCTTTCCAGGAGCTGAGATTGCATAGCGTAAGCAGGATTCCAAGTAAGACTCGCGTATTCTAAATGACTATATACAAGCGCATTAAATAGCGTAATTTTGGTTTTTATGCTAAAACCTTTGGAGTTGCGTTTAATGAACCCCAACATTCTCCCAGCTTTCCTAGCAATATTGTCTATGTGGGTGGTCATTTTTAATTTATTGTCTAAAGTAACACCTAAATCTTTTACCTCCATTACCTCACACAAGCTTGAACCACCTAGAGTATAGTGGCTGTTTATCGGAGATACTTTTCTGGTGAATTTTATATAAAAACATTTATTTATATTAAGTACCATTTCATTTGAACGACACCACTGTTCAACATTATTCAAGTCTGTTTGCAGTAGTGCCATATCAGAGAATGAATTAATGAGTAAATATATCTTGAGATCATCGGCGAATAAAGAAAATTTACAATATTTGATATGCTTGGATATGTCATTTATGAAAACAAAATAAGGTAGGTCCCAGGTGAGATCCTTGAGGAACTCCGGAATCTGCATAATACTCTTTTGATTCATATCCATTTACAGCTACTACCTGAGACCTCAACTCCAGATACGATCGAAACCAATTCAGAAGAGAGCCGTGTATACCCACCGATTCAAGCTTGCGTAAAAGGAGCAAATCGTTGACTTTGTCAAAGGCGCTACTAAAGTCTCTAAATCTATTGTCTAATTCCAAAGAAATATCGGTTAAATAAAAATCCAAGTTAGTTTGAACTGAACGGCCGGATCTAAATCCATGTTGATAAACGTAGGGTCACCTGTTGAACAATGAGCCAATTGTACACAATGAGTCATTGCAATATTTCCAAAACGCGACGTTGCCAGGTTTACTGTGATACATGTAAAGACGTGTTTGCGGGCCCCCGTCTCCCACCCCAGTTAGCGCGCGGATTGCAAGGAAAGCAGACACGTGACGGAGCCATCTTTAATTTCTCTACGAAAAAGTAAGATTTCTTATTAATATTGAAACATTTTTGACAATTTTATGCTAGCAGGTTACTGTTTTCCTAGAACGGTATGGAGTTACATATATCTCAAAGGTTATTTCTACGTGGAAGATAATTTAAAAATGTATGTCTTGGTTGTAGTTATACGAATATTTTCGTAAAATGTTCTATCTGGTAAACAATGAGCCACAAGCTCGTGGTACACTATGAGCCATGGCTCATTGTGTCCTATACGGCTGATCGAAATTACGAGTCATATGTGAGGAAGATGAAGCAGAGTAAATAAATATATTTGTTAAGATAGTATAGGTAATCAATTAATTTTGTTCAGTATCTGAGTTTGAAAGTTACCAATTTTATAAAGTATGTCATCATGTCAGCCGAACGACGCCCACTGCTGAGCATAGGCCTCCCCCAAAATGGGGGGGGTTGCCATAATCGCCACGCTTGCCAGGCGGGTTGGCGATCGCAGTATGGCCTGCTGTTGTATGGAGACGCTGCTGCCCATCTCCTAATATAAAGTATGTATGTACTTATAACTATTTTATTTTGATTGTAGATGGGGCGTACTAAAGTAACAAAAAGAAAGAAAGGATCTCACACTGCTGAAGATATGCTTCGAGCTATGATGTTAAATAGGAGAGGTTGGAGCATGCGCAAAGCGGCAAAAGAATGTAATGTTTATTATCCAACATTACAGCGTTACATTGCAAAAAATACAGCAATTCGTACAGAACATTTAAAATCGCAGAGACTTACGCCCAACTATAACGTCAACAAAGTTTTTTCAGACGAACAAGAACGGATTCTTATAGAATATATCAAAGAATGTTCACTAAAATTTTATGGTTTATCCACTAAAGATGTCCGCAGAGTTGCTTATCAAATGGCAGCTATAAATAATATTAAAGTCCCTGATTGCTGGAACCGTGAAAAAATGGCAGGGCAGGAATGGTTACGGTCTTTCAGGTCCAGAACTCCAGATATTTGTTTAAAAAAACCAGAAGCATGCAGCCTCGCTCGTGCAACCGCCTTTAATAAACATACAGTACAGTCATTCTTTACTAATCTCAAGCGTGCCATGGATCGACACGAATCCTTTGGCAATGGTTGCAGGGTCTATAACTTAGACGAGACTGCAACTACAACTGTCCAAAAGCCCCAAAAAGTTCTAGCACCTAAAGGGAGGCAAAATATTTGTAAAATAACAAGCGGTGAGAAAGGCACATTAGTGACTACTTGTGCAATCGTTTGTGCGTCTGGTCAATGTTTACCTCCTGTCCTAATATTTCCGAGAAAGAACTTCAAGGATTATATGTTAACAGGCGCTCCAACAGGTGCATTAGGTCTGGCATATCCAACTGGTTGGATGAATGCAGAGTTATTCCTTGAAGTTATGAAACACTTCATAAAACACACCTCTGCAAGCCCAGAAAACCCAGCGTTGTTACTAATGGACAACCACGAATCGCATTTAAGCATCGAGGCATTAGATTTGGCGAAACAATCTGGTGTAACAGTTCTTACACTACACCCTCATACAACAGCAAAGATGCAGCCGCTTGATGTGGGCTTATATGGTCCTTTTAAAGTTTTCTACAATAGTGCCATAGATTCGTGGTTAATGAGGAACCCCGGAAAACAGATGACCATTTATAATGTCGCTGAGTGCGTAGGACAAGCATATGTGAAATCTATGACACCAATAAACATTACCTCTGCATTCAGAAAGTGTGGCATATTCCCATTTGATGCAAACATTTTTACAGATATAGATTTTATGCCATCGGAAGTCACAGATAGACAAATTTCTGAAAAGTCATCACAACAGTTAGATCAGAAAGAGAACGTTGCTAGTCCTTTATCCGATGCGACCTATGTTGGAAGCCCCAATTTATTTGAAACAGGTCCATTTGAACGCGATGCTGAAAGCCCTTCTATATTAGAAACTATGACTGCTGAACCCACCTTTATGTCTGTCTCTGAACCGCAAGAACCTACAAATCCTTATCTTCGTGACGATGTTAAAACTCCTGAACCTAACAAATATTCTTGTCTGAACTTTGAACTTACTAACAATAATTTTATATCACCTAAAGAATTCATGCCAGCTTTGAAAATTGACAGACCTCGAGCTGGAGTACGCAAGCCTAGAAAACTAGGAAAAAGCATGATAGCTACAGATACGCCCGAAAAGAACCAAATAGACAATGAAAAGAAAAAAGCAAAAGAAAGGAAATCTGGGGCAAAAAATATGAAACGGCCAAAAATATATGGTAAGAAAGTTAAAGTGGTAAAACAAAAAAGGAAAATAGCAAAACTTGACTCTGAAACTAGTGAAGATGGAGAAACAATAATATCCTTGAGTGACAGAGAGAATTCCGACATAGAAGACGAAGAAGACGAGGATTTCATTATGATAAACGGAAATTTTGAAAAATTGAAGCGGAAGCCACAAGAGAATGACTATGTCTTGGTTTTGTTTAAGACGAAAAAAATTAAAATCTTTTATGTTGGCATAATTATAGAAAAAATGGATGAAACCACTTATGTAGCATCGTTTATGAGGGTCAAATCAAAATTAATAATGAAATTTTGTATGCCTCTGGAACCTGATCTAGCAGAGATCAAAATAGATGATATAAAGATGATCCTTCCACTACCGAAAATTAATGGAACTAAAAGCAGAAATTCATTTTATATTTTTCCTGTCCGTATGTCTCCAAATTTAAACCTCCGTTAAATTTGCCAAAACAATGAATGATTATTATTAGAAGCGAGTTTCTGAGTTTGTTATTTTTTGTCATAAAAACTTTATGGCATTTGTTAGTTACTTTTTAATATTTTAGAAAGCTGTGTTGTTTTTATTGGTTATGTTTTTTTTATTTTAGAAGTCTTAATAGGTCTAGAAGTCTAAACCAGTCTGTGATTTACTAAATGTAAAATAAATGATTTATTGATTATAAAAAACATTTTTTCTATTAAACTACATCACTTTTTTCAGTAAACGGCCAAATTCTAAAGTTCGCACATCATGGCTCATTGTTAAATATTGCTAGGTTCATAGTGTACATACCCCTGTACACAATGAGCCATTTCCCATTTTTTTTAAGAAGTTTTTTTATGTAATATCGGAAAACAAATTTAAAAAACTATTAATGACAGGCGGTAGAATATTGAATTTACTTCCTTTGTGTAAAAAATTGTTTCTATATCTTTGAAATTGGTGGTGTTAAGATCGTTTGAATTTTGGGTGGCTCATTGTCGAACAAGTGACCCTACAGTACGCGCGCGAGTTGAAGGCAGAGCTTAGGAATGAGCTAGTGCTGTGACCTAATTAGTCATAAGTAATCTCATCAAACGATAAATCACACCCTAACTAAAAGTATTGGTAGTAATCTTTCAAAAATATTTTAAATATCGATTAACATAATAATAAAACAAAATTATAATAATCACACATTTATACATTATTTATTTCTTGAATGGAGAAATTAAAATCAATGTAATTTAATCATCATTTGATTCTAAAATAACAGTCAGGTCAGAATCGGAGTCGCTATTATCGCCTTCGCTGACCTCAATCACGAATTGATCTATAGTATCTTCAATTAATGCATCTCTTAGCCAATAATTTTCTTCTAAAATAATTACGTGATCATCAAAGCCACGCCAATCTTCCTCTGAAATCTGACCAAGTGCCAGTTCCGTAACTTCTTTTAATCTTTTTAAAGATAAATCGGAATTGACATTGTGTTGTCTTACTATGCTTTTTAATTTTGCCCAAGCCAACTCAATTGGGTTGAGATCGCACATGTACGGCGGTAGTCTCACTACGACATGGCCATGACTCCTGATGAATTCGTCAATTTTGAAAGTCTTTTCAGTAGGTTTATGCAACTCAATTAAATGAAAGAGCTCATATTTTCTCATTGTAAGTGACGCTTCCGCATTATTTTTGTTTAACCATTCCAACATTACCGGTTTGGTGCAGGACTTCGTGGGGACTTTATTTTCTTGTACGCTATGATATGGTGCGTTGCGCATCACGACAACACTATTCTGTGGCAGATTAGGAATCAACGTGATAATCGCCTGATGTAGTACCAGCTTTAAAAAGTAACTTCGCGTTGTTTAAAAAGCCCCCTCTTGATCCCGCGTGAACAAGAATGAGCCTATTTGTGGAGCTGGTATCCGTCAACACTGCATCGATCATTTCATTTCTCCAGCATTTTTTAAAAGTGAGGTTATTGTCAATCCACGTTTCATCTAAAAAAAATATATTCCGGTCTTCTTGTCTATACTGACGTATTTTTCTCAAATATATTGACCGAGCAAATACAACAGCTGGCCTTTCTACCAAAATACGACGTTTATTATGATATTTTAGCCATTTATATCCCATCTCTTTTAATAGTTTTCTTAAACTTGTCGCTCCCCATGGAAATTCAATTTTTTCTCTAATAGATGCTAGAAGTTTAGGACAAGTAGGGACAATTATTTTTGTTAAATAAAATTCTTCTATAGTCTGCTGTATTACACTTCTATCAAAATCATCGACGTTTAAATTTTTGCGTTTGTTACACGATCTCTCTCTTTTAGCAGGCGAACGAAGAGGTCCTTCTTTAGCTTCTTTTTTTATTCTAGCTAAAGTTCTTTCAGATAGTCCAGTATAACCGCTAGCTCGGCCGAAAGAATCGCTTACAGGTGAAGTCAAAAAGTTGTTCTGTTTCTCTACAGAGAAATGGCGAATAAGGTTCTGGATATGTATATCCAGAACCTTTTTCGCCATTTCTCGTGGTTGGCGATGAATAAAGACACGTTTTTTTGTACCGGAACATGAAGGAATCGGATCAGTCATGTTTAAAAACAAAACAATAACACAAGACGCCTGAAAAGGACAGTGGAGAGCAGAGGGGGTAGGCAGCGGCTGAAGGAAACTATCTTAATTATATATAAATAATTTCTGTCGCCAACAACGCCACTTGAGTACACGATTCAGTGAGCATATAGTAATTTTAATATCATTGACACGATTGGTAATAAGCGTCATCGATGAATGTCAAGAACAACAATACTACGCTAAGGATGTGCGAAGTGAGGCGTGCGGACGGCGGGGCGAGATGCTACCGCCCCTCACCTCAGGCCCCGACTGCCATCTGCTAGCGCGCGTACTATATATAATTTTGTCAATGTGACTATATATTATGGGGGTACAAACTAGATTCAAATAATTTAGAAAAAGTTGACAAAATGGATACTGGGCGGTAATTGGTAATATCGGAGCGATCACCCTTTTTATAAATTGGGACAATTCGAGCTTTTTCCATTGCGACGGAAAAACACCATCACGGTTAAAAATTAAGGCAAGAGGCCTGGCAAGTTTGGAGCCACAAGTTTTAATAAACAAGGGAGGGATACTGTCAGGACCTGTTGCCTTAGATGAATCCAAATGGTTAATATGTTTTAAAATACATTTTTCCGCAATATTAAATCGTTGAATGACGTCATGAGTGATAAATGAATTAACCGGATTAGGAGAAATTAAGTCTCTTGTGAAGACAGAGGAAAAGTGACTGGCAAAAAGATCGGCAACATCCTGGTTATGATCAGCAGTGATTCCATTCAAATACATGTTGGCTGGGAAAGACAATCGACCTTTGCGTTTCGTTTTGATGTAATTCCAGAAAAATTTAGGATTGTTCGCAATATTACTTTCCAACTGCGCTCTGTAATTGCTGAAACACCGCTTATACAATTTGTTACAGTCACTACGTGTACGATGGTATTCTATTTCATCTCTAGGATTATTATATTTTTGAAATTTCCTTCTGAGTTTACCTTTTTTGGCTAATAACCTGATAAGAGCTGCAGTGAACCATGAAGGTGTACCACTTTTCTTAGGAAAGCGTTTAGGAACAAATTTGTCAACTAGGCTTCGAAGTTCCAAGTAAAATACTCTAACTTGATCTTCAGTATCTACGCAACTAGAAAATTATCTCTCCCAATTCAATCTCTCCAATTCTGCCATAATATTAACATAGTCTGCTTTAAAATAATTATGATCAGATCTAGGTTTCTAAAGAAGGTTATTATCGATAGGATATTGCACCTTTAATAACAATGCTGGGTGATACCCGTCTAAGAAATCGGAAGGCAAGTTAACGTCTACGTTTGGGTTACTAGTAAAAATGAGATCTAACATTTTTCCATCTACATTTGGGACTCTATTAACCTGGTAAAGTTTATTGCTATACATAAAATCAACCAAAACAGACTCCATTTTGCTACTACAGTTATTAGGGATCATTGATTGGGTATCAGTAGATGCATTCCATACCATTTTACCTTGATTAAAGCCACCCAAAATAATTATATCATCGACTTGACAAAGAACATCACTAGTATTATTCAAAAACATGGACAAATTATCCACGTTAACAGGAGGAGGCATATTCAATACAAATGGTAACCTTTCTAATGCGATCATTAACTACCAAATGAATAGTAACCCATAAATCCTCACAATTAGTTTCCCATCCAAAGATACGGGAAGACTGAATGTCTTTAGATACAGCTAACATCACACCTCCACCAGCTAGCTTACCACCTCGCGTTATTAGTCGGTCTCTGCGGTACACTTCGTATCTATCATCAACAATTTCCCTGTCACTAATATTTGAATTCAACTATGTTTCTGTAAAACCCATTATATCATAATTGTCCAATAAGACATTTTTATGCACTACAATTAGTTTTGGTCCTGAGACCGCGAACATTTTGGTAGTATAAGCTAACCATTGTGAATATATAGATTCCAAAACATTTTATATCACAACACTTAATAACTTAATAGATTTTACAGTCGTATAATTTTATTGAAACTGTCCTTATCATTAATAAGCAACACTCCACTGCTCTCCTCAGATTATCGCACAAATATGCGTACGTTTCTAATCCAGACAAACTTGTAGCCCATTTCCTTCGCTTTCTTTCTTGTGGCAGCATGGAGGGATTTATTCGAAGGTGTAAGGTGTTCCGCCAAAATAATCGGAGTTTGTGGTCCAGCTATTCCGAGGTGCTTCGAACTAAGTTTATCTACATTTTGTTTATTTCTATTAACAGTTGAGGGGATGTTGTCCTGGCCCCATGACTCCGGGGTAGCGGATTCGGGGGATTTCGCTGCCCAGCATGGAGGGGTCCGAGATGGAAGGCCCCGAGAAGAAGGATCTAAGGAAGAAGGATGGAAGGCTCGTCTGGTGTTCGGCGAGCCTTACATTTGGAGTCGGGGGACCGTTGCGTCTCCCTTCTCGGGGAGGGGCTGCGCTGGGCGCGGCCAGCCTCCCTTCCCTTGGGTAAGAAAAAAGGTAGGTCAATGGATAAAAACAAAAATATTGTCATTTACCAGTTTCTTGGTTTTCGGCTTGATTTAGAAACAAAACGATGGACCAAAAAATTAAACTTAACCTGTGTGTGTGTGTGTGTGTGTGTGTGTGTGTGTGTGTGTGTG